TGCTATGTACATTGGACAAACGTCTCAGACACTTCGCCAAAGGATCAATGCCCACAAAACAGATATTAGACAGAATCACAAAGAAAAAACAGTTTCCTGCCATTTCAACCAACACTGACATTGTCTCAACGACTTGATTACCTGCATTCTGCTTCAAAGGCCTTTTAAGACTACACTTGAAAGAGAATCCTCTGAACTGTCATTCATGCTTAAATTCGATACTTTACCCTTAAGTTTGGATAAAGATTTTAAGTATATTACCCATTACAAAGATAGCTTCCCCAATTATCACCTCTAATATCATTAGCTCACAGACATTTACCTTCCTCCTGTTTTGAAATTTGATTTGTCCTTTTCATGTGTGTTCATTTTTTTAATTGTATCCTTTGGTGTATATGGTTGTGACAATTTCCTTCCACTATTTGATCTGAGGAAGTGGGTCTGGCCCATGAAAGCTCATCACCTAATAAAACCATCTTGTTAGTCTTTAAAGTGCTACATAGTCCCGTTTTTTAAAAATAATGACACTGAAATGTCAATGTTAGTAGTCTACTACTTTCCTCCTATTTTACTAAGAGGAAAGAAACTTAGTTTCTAAGGCTCCTACACTGTTTTTTGCAGAAGAGGAAATGCAAATGAAGCATTCATTAGCAAATCTCGCACTCATTTGTATATTCTTTTCTGATATTTTTTGCGGAAGGGGTTTTTGAGAAGAAAAACAATGTACATGGGACCATTTTTCAGAAAAAAACCTTTTGTGAAAGATCTTGTAAACCTCATTTTTTGAGGAATAAGGGATCTTGCGCAAAAGGGTTTTTTCCCAAAAAACGACCCCGTCTACACTGCATTTTTTTTTCTGAAATTGGAGTGCAAGATTTGCTAATGAGCACTTATTTGCATTTCCTCTTCAGCAAAAAACAAACAGTGTAGACGGAGCCTAAATTTAAAATGCACTGCTCTGAAGCAAAGTCAAAAAGTTGTTTCTAAACACAATGGGCTCCTCAGCAAAGAAAGATGTAGGAAACATTTATACTTTGCAAATTCCTATTGCACTGAATAATCACTGTTTTGCAAAAACCCAAGGTTTACTAGAAGTATCAAAACACCAAGCTGACCAACATACAGTTTATCATTTTTATTTCCTCTCCTAGTGGAAGATAGACATGGAGATCACCACATTTGTACCTCAATCTTGAAGATCCCACCGTATGCCACCTTTCCTCTATTGTACAACACTATTTATGCTCTCCTAGGTCATTACAGAACTTAGCCCTCTGCTTGAAAGAGAAGCAAGTTTCTCTGGAAATTTGCAAACACTGCTGCTTAACCAAGTGGAAGTAACACTTAATCAGGCATGAGTGAGTTTTCCTGCTTTATATCCTGCTTTAATTCTCTCTATGCCATAGTGTTTTAGCAACATTTTTTATTTATGACTTTTCTGTTATAAACAAAAGTTTACTTTTGCAGCATTTCTGGTCTAACAGTAAGAAACCAGAAACCACAACCAGGTACCAAGTCCACTTGTCATGTAACGTAAGCATTTAAAAGGTCATGGAACTTGCTGGAATATTCAATTTTTTACAACTTACTGAAATGCCATGGAAAGCGAGTACCCACCACATTCTCTACTATTCTACTACTATATTTAATTTTAGATTAATACATTTTTACTTCTGCTAAAATAAGTTATACTTCCGAACAGACCCTAAAAAAGAGAAGGCTAGAACAATTACTCATTGACCTGTTCTTTATTGTTTATCTAAATGGCTCTTCATCATCATAAGTCCTACAAATGTATAAAGGATTAGACTCGATATATGCATCAAATTATTAATCAACTTCAGAATTAAACTGATGTTATATATCAGATTCTAAGAAATTCAGATACCTCTATCACAATAATTCTGTGTTTAATTACTGCTATTTAAGATAGGCCATAATTAGACTCAAAGTATCAACTTTTTGGACACAGTTATTTGAGTGTGTTTTTTCCAGAATTCAAGAATCGTGACAGATAAAAGGTGTTTCAGAGCTAAAAAACCCAAATCATGTGTGTTATTTACTTTGGCTTAGGAAAAAAGACTACAAAGATATATTAACTTGTTGCACAAAGTACATCAAATTAGGGCATAATCATAATCAGGATATCAAGTGTTCATTCAAGTAAATAAAATACAGTATCTGCAGTTTAAAGAGACCAAAACCTTCTTAAATAATTATCATGTAAGAAAAAAATTACTTAATAAGCATTTTGTCAAATTCTAGTTTAACTATTAGTTATGTCTGCCATTGCCTGCACAACTACAACCCCAAGTGTTATCACTTGTTCTCCCTAATCAAACATACTAGAGAGTAAGTTTGTTTAGGGAACTGAATTTATTTAATTCTGAGGCAACTACCCAACAAATCAACTAGCTAGAAACTAAGCAGCACAATGGTACAGCAACAACAGAAGACTTGTCACATCTTTGGTAAAGAATCAAAACAGTCTAATGACAATAGTAAGTGGTACTGAATGATTTTCTGTGAAAAATATGTTGGCTAAATTTTACCACAAAAAAAAAAACCCCTGCATTTTTTTAGTAAAGAAAAAATGCTTAGAACAAAAAAATAGTTCAAGATTTCTACCTCAACTTATACATGTCAGCCAATATTTTTCAAAACATCAAATATGGCAAAATATTAATATTAATAATATGGGGGGGTTAGATTGCAAACTGCATTCTATTTCAGCTCGTAAAGATTCAAAATACTAATAAACAGAGCCTAAGTAGGTCATGCTTAGATGTATCTGCATTTATATAGTACTTAAAATGTTTTTTTAGAATACTAACCTCTCTTTTAATTGAGATACAAAGGGAAAATATTACAAATTACTTTTATTCTGCAGCTTACAACAAAGAATAGTATTTGTTTAGGTGGTGTTTAATTAAAAGCTTCAGCTGTATACTAAAAATGCTTGCAGACTTCAGTTTCTCTTCCTATTCCCCTAATAGATATTTCCTAAGAAAGAAACCCAATTCATAAACATTTTCTAGTTTAGTTGTTACAAAGCTGCTGATAAGCTTTTTTCCTCTTGTTTTCACACTGTTATTGTGATAGCTACATTTAAGATTTTACTAATCTATTTATCCTTTTGAGACAAATGACAGTTATGTCACATATTTCTAAATGGAAGATACTAAACAAAGACTTAATGCTTTGGTATAAATAATGAACGTGATCATCTGAACAATGAAATAATTACCTGAATATCACTATATTTTGTAGCTCAAAAAAGTTCTATGACACTTAAAAGTTATGCTGAATAATTCTAGGAGGCTATTAAAACTATGTCTCATTGCTTTGGTTCACAAATTTTAAGGCCAAAAGGGCCCATTGTAATAATTTAGTCTGATCTCCTGCAAGCCACAGACACTCATCCAGTAGTTTATGAATGTACTGATTGCTAAGAGAAACAAAAACAAGAAAATAATATTTCAGCTACCTACCTCACCAGGGTGCAATCTATCCCAGTTTTCATTAATGTATGTCATAAGTTCAAGCTCTGAATCAAAGTATTTCTTCTTATGAATAACACTGAGGTTGTAAAGGCATAGATGTGCTATATCTACCCTAGAATTCAGAAATATTTAATCAAAAACATTAAGTTTTTATTTGTTTAATTTTTTTTTATAACAAACCATTAGTCTTTGAAAGTTTTGCATAAAAATATTAGCACAACATGACTAACAGTACAAAGGCTGATTAGAAAGTTTCATTCTTATAAAACCTAGGGATGTTAAAATGTGTTTATTTTGATAAATGTGTAACCACTGAAATTTTCCGCAGTTACACGTGTGTTTGGGGGAGGAAGGGGGGGGAAGAGGTGGCTCCCCACATATACTCATTCAGAGCCGCCTGCTCTCCCACCCCACATTGCTGCTGTCTCTGATACAGGGGGGCATGTGGGTCTGTGGGAACTGATACGCACAGGGAGCCTACTTAAAAGCTGCCTCCTGCCTACACTCCCGTGCTGCTACCACTATATCAGAGGCAGCAACACAGAAAGTGAGGGGGCAGCTGTGTAGGAACTGGCACTTGCATGGAGCTTGTTTAAAAGCCAGTTCTACATGAGTGCTGGCTTCCACCAGCACCCCTTCACGCTGCTGCTTCTGTTATAGAGAAAGCAGCAGGGAGAATGGGGTAAGCACGTCCTTCCATTTAACCATTACACTATTACACCCCTAATAAAATTTACACATATACCCGCCCACCCTTTTCTGTCTTGTGTCCTGTTTTCTGCCTAGGGTTTCACTCCACTGCCTTATGGTATTTTTAGCTCCAAAGTTTGGGATTTGTATAGCAGAGCTGAAAATTAATGAAGTTCAAACTACAAGTTACTTATAATTCTCATGTAAGAAATTCTACTGTAAAATGTGTCAAAATCCTTATTAATATGCACATTGTAATTTGTCTTACCTAGTGGCAAAACTCTAATACATGGATAACAAATACAGTTTTGACTCAAGTTTCTCATACCCAACCAGCAGTGGTTTGTAATACTGAATTGTCCAAGGAAGTGGATCCTGATATCATGCATTAACAGCATGACTAAATAAACACAATAACTGACTCTGAAAGGGACCCTCTGTTGCCTGTCCTTTATTTATAGAAGCAGCGTGTATCAGTGGACGCAACGAGGATGATCCTCAGTTATACAAAGAGACACAAGACATCGGGGAGAAAAGTGAGCAAAATATCTCTCCCTCTCCCCCCTTTTTTTTGAAGTTGTACTTACCATCTCAAAGGTAAACGTTTGAGGTACTCTGGTCCAGAACTGCAGACTGAGCAAACAAATGTATAAAACCTAAAACAAAAAAATAAAATTAAGATATGAAAAGCCATTCACTTTTTTAAAAAGCTGACAACCTAATAGGGATGTAAATGGTAACCAGTCAACAGTTGCCTGGTACCCAAGAGCAGTCCCTTGCCCATGGCCAACTATGGGGCTGAGCTGCCCTGCATAGCAAAACTAGCAGAGGTTCACCTCCCCCCCCCTCCACCCCGCACGCACACACACACACTCACTCAGGCTGGAGCAGCTCCTCCCACCCACCCCCTTTAATCAGTTAACCGGTTAAACACTACATTTACCTGGTTAATCAATTAAATGGGGTTTTACATCCCTATAACTTAACACTTTAGTTCTCCAGCTATTTAACTGGAAGCATCTAAAGAAACTTCATTTTGTCATCTTCCTTACAACCTGCATTTTAAAATGCTTTTGGGGTTATTACTATTTTAATAAAATTTTATGTTTAAATGCAAGAGGATTAAAACATTCCACATTTTAAACAAACAACCATAGATCAAAAAGTTCAGTTCAAGCTTCTTACCTGTCACCAAAAAGCATTGGCTTTTGGAGACACTGCACACAAGCCTCATGAAACCACTGGTTACATTTGCAGCACTGTAGCATCTTTAAATACCAGCTTCACAAGCAGAAAAAAATAAAACAAGTGTTACAATAAACTGCTGCAAATATTTCCCCAAAATAATGTTGACCTAAAATGTATAGATTTTAGAAAGTATACCATCAATAGAGATATTTCAATAAATTTTTGTTTCATGGTGAAAGTAATTAGAAACTGCCTAGAAAGCAAGAGAAACTGTCTAGTCTGTTCTTGGTAATTCAGGTGGAAGAAATGCAAAGAAGAAACTGTAGAATAAAATTCAGTTTTTAATAATGTGAATTATTTGCTAAATATGCACAGATTTAAAAATTAAATTCTGATAGCACTCTCTTAATTCTCAGTAAAATTTTCCAGAATTGTGCATTTAATTAGGACCAACATCTTTTATTATTCTAGATCAGGGCTACATAACACTGATTATTTTAGATCAGGGCTTCCATCGACTAGTCAATTAGTTGATAAGGGGTGGAAACTGCAAAGCCCCAATGGGGTTAGCTCCCAGCCCCGGGAGCTAACCCCACTGCGGCTCTGCCTTTTAAATGTATTAAGAGGCTAGCAGCTCTTAATACATTTAAAAACCACAAGCGCAGCAAGGGGGGGCAGGGGGGCTGCACGACTGGGTACAAACAGGGAATCGGCTTATTCTCAGCTTGTGCCCGGTCCCCTGCTATGCCGCTGCCTCCCCTGCAGAGGTGGTGTTGAGGGGGGGGGGGGCACGACTGGTTTTTAAGCCAGCTTCCCCCAACACCAGCTCCTGTCCATCACTCCCCTCCCCCCTTGCAGCCTCACTCTGATAGAGAAAGCAAGGTGGGGGGGAAGTGACTAGTCAGATCACTGGTTGACTATCTGATAAGCATATGCTTATTGGATAGTCGCTTACTTCCCTAGTTGAAACATCACAAGAGTAGACAGTGTGTGACCTATGATGATACTAACTATTCTTCAGCACCTGTACCACAATGCCCAATAGTAACCGCTCTGATCATAAAACTCTTCTGCTTTAGAAACAGGAAGCTTCCCTCCCCTTCTTTAAAACCCTCATATGTTTTTGAAATACCCTTTCCTGATTGGACAGCTTGGCAAGCACACCTAGGAGGTCTCCCTCATGTGCAACTGCCTACCTAACCATGCTCTAGACACACTCCTGCCTGAAATAGACAGGAGATACATCAAATGCTGGGCTTGTAAGGAGAAGAGCTGCATACACATAGCTATTGGCTAGTCATAGCAAAGTAGACATCTACAAAAAGACTGCTCGGGGAAACAGAAAAAATGTTACGACGGGGATCAGCAGCAAAGCAGTGTGACAGTGACAGAACTGTGGCAGGCATGCCACAAGACCCAGGGAGGCAAACAGCTGATCTGGGGCCAATTCACAGACCTGCCACTTTTACAAGCTGCACTTAGTGGAGACTCCACCAGAACCCCACATACCACCACTCAGAGCCAGAGACCCTTGCTGTGAACAGCAATAAGGAGAAAGGAGGACATACTGGGCGTCAGTCACATCTATGCTGTGAACCATGATCTTTTTGAGACTCCACTATATTCCAGCTAGTCCCACTATAGGAGCACAACACCACCAGGACACCAGTCAGAGTTCTGTTTTTGGTGCCTTAATTACCATCAGGAGTGGAAGATCAGCTAAAATCACCAGAGTCTGCTGAAAACAGCACCATATCTCAGTGCCACTGGAATAGGGGCCAACATTTTCTTTGAAATTGAATAATTCCCTCATTCCCCCACACGCCTTACCCCCTGGTAGGCCATATTCATGATGGCTGCAGCTGGAAAGAAGGACACAAAAGATGAAGTGTCAATAATCATGTCTTATTTAAAACTCTCATCAGAATGAGGCAAGGAAATTCTGAAACTTATCTTCGGCTTTCTAAAGCTGTTCTATCTGTGGCTGCTATTGTTGCAGCATATACTGGGGCCCCCTCTAAGCACATGTAACACCTGAGGTTGAAGAGGAGGAGGAAGATGCAGACTGAGATGACATGTTCAGTGAGATCATGCAAGCCAGTGCTGCATCAGACTGAAATACCACAGAGCCTAGAGAAGCAAAGAACACACAGAAGAAAGGCCCAGGAATCCCAGCAGAAAGACAAGAGGGAGATGCACAATGATGTGGTTTCTCAAACACAACTGCAACAGATTCTTGTGAACCTAAAGGTTGGTCCAGTCACAGACTCTCCTCCTTCTGCAGTCAGAAAACTGCATTTCAACAGCCCTCTACAGTCGCCAACATTTCAATTTTAAATTTCTGTTCCATTAAATTTATTAGTTTACACACTAGGGGAATGTCTACACTAGTCCCCTAGTTCGAACTAGGGAGGCTTTGTTCCATTAGTTTTATTAGTTTACACACTAAGGGTATGTCTACACTAGTCCCCTAGTTCGAACTAGGGAGGCTAATGAGGGCGACAAAAATTGCTAATGAAGTGCGGGATATTTAACAGTTCGAATTAACTGTTACTCCTCATGGAATGAGGTTTAACAGTTAATTCAAACTAAGGGGATTATCTCGGAATCCCACTCCTCTGTCGCGTGTAGACGCAGGCAGTTACTTCGGGCTAGTCAGTTTCCAAAATGGCAACCAGCCGGGAATATGCTAATCAAGCACGGGATATTTAAATCCCGCGCTTCATTAGTAATTTCGGTCTCCCTCATTAGCCTCCCTAGTTCGAACTAGGGGGCTAGTGTAGACATACCCTATAAGTTTTTTAATGCCCATTAATGGTTTGTACTGTTTTTGGCCTACAAGATTTTTAGAAATAAAACATCACATACTCCATAGTGCATAGAACTACTTAAAGTGCACACAGAACACAGTTAAAAACAGTAATTATATATCTATAGTAAGAAATCCCCACAGGTTAAGTAACTAATTTTTATAAATGTGCACTAAGCACTACACAATTTCTAACAAAACACCCGAAACTTCAGGGCCAGGTCAAGTACTTTCACGAACACGACATTACTATGAGCAGGACTCGCTGAGCGGCGACGAGCCCAGCTCACCAGCTGCACGGTTCTGCGCTCTGCGCCTGCGCAGATCGTTCTACACCGGCTCTTCCGGGTGTAATCTACTCACCCCAGGTGAGTAGATTACATTGTTTGTCCAGCCCTGACTATGACTGACCATTAAATTGCTCCTTTCAAGATACCCTCACTCTCATAGGTCCATGTTGAGCTCTTCTAAGGGATTTTGTGTTCAAAGTGAGCAGATAGCCACTCCATCTCTGCCCTCCACTCCATAGCAACTTTTCCCCTTTCCGCTCACAGATAGTATGAAGGTCACAACAGGCAGCTATTGGGATATTTTTCTCATTGAAATCTAATCTTGTGAGTAAACACTGCCAGTGCCCCTTCAACCTGATGAAAGCACATTCAAAATTGTAGTTTCTGTGCTGATCAGCCAGTAGCTAACTTTCCAGGATGATGTCAAAGTGGCCACTGTATGCCTTTGTAAAACAGGGAAGCAAGAGGGAGGATCAGTCTCCCAAGATCATTATTGGCATTTCAACATCACCAATGCCCATCAGAAGAAAGCATTCCCTGTTTGCAATGTTCTTCACAACAGTACAGAGATATATAGGCTCCATGCTTTTGTCAGAAATGGCAAACAACAACAAGTGCTGTGCAGGTTTGTGGAATTTTAAAAAGGAGCAAAAAAATAATGGGATAAGGATGGCACTAGACCTCTTAATCCCAGTCACCCCTGCATGCCCCACAACTCATGCATGCCCCACAATGCCTTGAAAAAATTCCTTACGAGGCATGGCACTAGAAACGTGACAGGTGGAACACTGGATACTTATCTATCACACACTGCACTCTGTGTGACTAAAAGAACTCCTAAGGAGCACATGAAGTAGATATGCAAGCAGCCATGCATGCATGAACACTACATTAACTGCTGTGGCTTTATGTTGCTGCAGCTTGCATTAATCAAAGTTTATAGTGTAGACATGGCCTAAGAAGTGTGAATTGTCCCAACCTCAATCCACTCATCCAAGGAGATATGACAACTGCTGGGGCAGGTACAGGAAGACATCCAGCTTCACCCTCTCCCATCCTAGTGGTTGAAAGGGACCACTTTCAGCTCAAGGGAAAGGGAGGCTTTCTAATGCCACTTTTGGATGCAAAGTACTCCTCTTGCCACAACCACTCCAAGTGGGAGGCTGGGCAAGGTAATGAGGCAGACATAGGAAGCTCCAAGTTATGGTATGTTATAACCCCAGATGGCTTTAATTTGGGACTCACAAAAAAGTCACAGTTCTGCAAAATTTTCCTCAGAGGTATTCTGCTGCTATTCATGTAAGTCTTAGGGATCGTCTATACTAATGCTATAAGTTGATCTAAGTTATTTTAGTCGCAGAAACACAGACAGTTGTAGACATTGCTGAAAATCAAGCTGTGTCAACAGGAGATGCTCTTCTATTGACTTCGGTGTGTCTTCACTAGATCTGTTAAATCAACTGCAGCAATGCCAGTTTAGCCAGTTTAAACAGGACCCTACACTAACTTCAAATGAACAGAAATAAGGACTTGAGGAAAAACGAACAAAAAGCTATTCCTTGCCCCAAAAGAATAGGTAAATAGGTTTATTACAAGATACATTAAAGAAACACGTTTATTTCAAAACTCATCTCTATTAGTTGACCCTCCCCTTCCCAGCGCCACCATCAGTACACATTGAACCCTGAAGAAAGATATTTAGGCCCATATCCTGAAAACATTTAAGTAAAGTTAACCATAAGTTTAAGTACTTTCAGAATGAAGGCCAAAGTTTTCAGAGCTGCACAAAGAAGAAAAACCTTTCGATGGAAATTTTTATTTACTTACTCTCCAGGGCCTCCACAGTAGCAGTAACATTGTTGAACATTGGTTTTATGACCTGCATCCCATTCAAGGTCTGCTACATTGTACGGTAATGATTGCTTCATGACTTGTAGCGCTTTGGCATTTGGTCCTTTCTTTAGCGCGCCACCCCTCTGGAACAAAACAGATCAAGGGTTTTTATTAAAAACCAGTAAGTATAGTTATGCAAATTTCAAAACTTTCAACGCAAAGGCTTACATAGTTACAATAGTACTTAATTTTTATCTGCAATTTTGCTATATCAGCTGTTATTAAAATAGCTGATCTAACTATAGAAGAACTGATATTATTTGTAGCTGATATTTTATTGATTGCCTTTGAAAAGATATCAAAATTCATAACTTCCAATTTACTCACAAACATTTCCCATCTGGATCAAAACCAGGAACTGTGGGAAATCTCTCAAAGAGAACTAGTTTTTATTTGTCACTTTCAACTTTACACATAAAAGTTTAGTTAATCACCATACAAATACTATGGAAGAGTAGATGTACAAGTTATATCAGCCTAATAATAATAATAATTTGATTCCATAACACACCTTTGTTGTTGTTGCAAAAACACACTGTCGACAGAGCCATTTATCATCTGAATCAATCACGCTGGAATCAATATTTGGTGTGTGACACAGCTGATGATAACCTGAATTCAGAATAGAGATTTCACTCTTATAATGAAACCCATTAAAAACTTTACCCATATTTACACAAACTAAATTGTTTTAAACAACTTCTTTTCTTTCTAAAACAGAATGTAGATTTAAAATATCCTTTGTTTCCATAAAAAGATTCTGATCAGCTATTATGATCAATAGTGCTCCAAACTCTCTTTTTAAAGCTCTTGTTTGTTGAGAGTTTTAATCACAAGAGCTTTGGAAGGTTACAAAACCCAAACCAAATATTATAAAGCATTCAGCCCTGTTCTGGCTTCTTTTGCCTTCCCATTAGCCATAGACCAGAATAAACCAAAATATCTAAAATGGAACAAACATCAAGAAACAAAAGTTACCTTGGCCACATTTATCACATATAACCATTTCATTAGGTGCTTCGGAATACTCCTCCTGACATATCGTACAGACCATTTCCCCACTCTCAGAGGCTCCTAAAAATAGATAAAAGTAACTCATGTTACATACATTTAGAACTAGAAGATTCACCCAGCGTTGCTCAGGTCCTTAACTAAGGATGTAAAATCATGCTTAATCAGTTAACCAGTTAAACATTAGGTTAACCCGTGGGTGGGCAGTACATTTTTGGCCAGGGGCCACTTCAGAAATTTTTGACGTGGCTCTAGGCTGCTCAGGAAGGGGCAGGACCTCAAGCGGAAGGGATCAATATACTTCCAGGTTCCCCATCCCCAGACTATCATTGGTTTGAGGGTGAGGGAGTGCCTTTGCCCCCTCACATTTCCCCTGGGTGCCCATGCCTCTGGTGTGGGAGAAGACTTCCCGCGCTCCCCAGCCCTTAGGCCAGTGGTCCCCAACGCTGTCACCAGCCCCGCCCCCGGGCACGTGGTGCATGGGTGGTGCCGGCCCCTAGGCGTGCAGCGTATGGGTGGTCCCGCCCCCAGGTCCACGGTGCAAGGGCTGTGCCGACCCTGGGCGCGTGACATATGGGCGGCCCCGCCCTTGGGCGCGCAGTACATGGGCTGTGCTGGCCCCAGGCGTGTGGTATATGAGCGGCCCCGGCCCCCAGCGCGCGGCACATGGGCGGCCCCGGGCGCGCGGGCAGCCCCACACCAGGGCACATGGTGCATGGGCAGCCCCACCCCTGAGCACGCAACACAGGAGCGGCGCCAGCCCCGGGAGTGTAGCACATGGGTGGCACCGGCACTGGGCATGCAGCGTTTATCTAGTACATCACAGCTGTGTTGTCGATCAACAAGGCAATGCACTGGCCTTATAAATAGTGAAACAGGCCTGCCAGGCAACGCAAACAGCCCTGAGTTCCCTGACACTGATGTGCAGGGAGAGTTCTGCCTTGGACCACAGCCCCTGAGTATACCCTGATGTGCTCCCCAATCCATCGCCAAAGCATCCATCACCAGAGACAGGGAGGGTTGGGAGCTGGCAAAGGGGACTCCCACATGCACCACTTGGGGCTGCAGCCACCAATTCAGGGAGTGGAAAACTGATGTAGGCAGGGTGACCAGGCCATCTAATGCAGAGGTAGGGAACCTTTTTCGGGTTGAGGGCTGCTGACCCACAGAAAAATCAGTTGGGGGCCACACACAAGTGAGAAACAAAGTGACAAGCCCCTGACTGAGAAGGAGAAAGACACTCCTCCCATTATCCTCACACACCAGAGACTAGGGGGGCCCAAGCTAGTAGATTTTGTGTGCTCCAGCCCTGCGGGTGGGTGGCTGGAGGGCTAACATGGGCTCCCCCATGCTGAGTCTCAGGGGCCAGATCCAGACAAGCCAGGGGCTGCAACCAGCCCCTGAGCCTGAGGTTCCCCACCCCGATCAAATAGATCCCTGTTGGGTCTGTGGACTATGACAAATTAGGTCTGGAGGGGTTGGAGGCAGAGTCTGACATGCTCTCTCACAAACATGTGGGCCGCCATGTGGCCCAGGAGCCTCATACAACTCCTGGACATAGTAGTAGAAACCATTGAAGGGTGTGCATAATGTCCATGAGCATCTGAAAGTGGGACAAGAAGGCTCTCAAGGGTAGAATCTACAAGGGCCCCAGTGAACACTACTTGCTGAGCTAGAACCAACCGGGACTTGGGAAAACTGAGAATAGAGCCCAGAACAGTCACACCTGCCAGTTCCACTAGCTGGAGCACCTGCTCCTGGGACCTGCCCTTGATTAGCCAATCATTAAGGTACAGGAAGATCTGTACCCAGTGTTTGCAGAGAAAGGTCGTCATCACTGTCATGCACTTTGTGAACACCCTCCATGCCATGGAAAGACTGAACGGGAGGACTGTGAATTTGTAGTGGTGGCCACTGACCATGAACCTGAGAAACCTTGTGTGTGTGGGAATGATGGAAATATGTAAGAACGCATCCTTCAGATCAAGGATGGCACACCAGCTCCTCAAATCAAGGGAGGAGACGATAGTGGCCAGGGAAACCATATGGAAAAAGAAGTTACTCACTTTGTGCAGTAAATGATGGTTCTTTGAGATGTGTATCCCCATGAGTGCTCCATTGTAGGTGTCAGGTCATCCCAGCACCGCAGATCAGAGTTTTGAATAGCAGTAGTTAGTGGGGCCACGCATGTGCAGTAGGTGCCTTGTGGCATTCATGCCTTAGCACGCTGTGCATGCGGCCCAACCCACCTCAATTCCTCCTCTATACCCAAGTAGACTGGTACTTCCAAGTAGATGAGAGGCTGGTAGGTCATGGAGAACCCATGGGGGGACACACCTCTAATAACGGTCATTACTGCACAAGGTCAGTAACTTACTTTGCTTCTTCAAGTCATGTCTCTGTGGGTGCTCCACTGTAGCTGATTACAAAGGAGTGACCAGTAAGGAAGGAGGCAGAAAACAAGATTGCTGTGGCCAGTGAGATATTGAGCAACAGCTTGGATACGATGACAATGTCTTGAGAAAGTATGCCCGGACCAGGTGGCAGCATGATAGAAGTCCTTGAGTGGAAAGTTACAAAAAAACACTTTTGATATGGCACTGGTAGCGTGTTCTCAGGGGAGCTGGAAGAGTCCTGTTTTGCAAGAAGTAACAGCAAGTTATACATAAGGGTATCAAGTTGGAAATGCGCTGAACAGAGATGGGCATGCCTTTCAAGTGCTGTGCAATGGAAACTAACATGCTGCGATCTATGGAAGGCTTTGGTTCTATCTATGTAGAAAGCAAGGGCCCACCAAACATTCAAAGTCTGTAGAGTGGCTTCCTAACGGGAGGCTCATGATTTTGGGTAGAAATCCAGCAGGACGATGGGTTCATTAATATGGAATGATGTGCACACCTTTGGCAGAAAGGTGGGATGTGGCCGTGACAGAACTCTGTTTTTCATAAAGACTGTATAAGGCAGATCCACTGTGAGGGCCCCAATCTCGCTGACCCTGTAGGCAGAAGTAATGGTAACTAAAAATGCTACCTTCATGGAAAGGAAGGGAAGGGAACAAGTTGCCATGGGCTCGAAAGGAAGTCAAGTAAGTGAGTCGAGAACCAGATTTAAGTCCCACACAAGTGCTGGATGCCTGTAGGGTGGGTATAGGTTACAAAGTCTTCCAAGGAATCTCCTAGTGACTGGATGAGTAAAGACCAAAAACCCTTCAACTGGACAGTAGAAGGCAGCAATTGCAGCAAGATGAATCCTGAGGGATGACATGGATAGACCTGTGATTTTTAACTCGAGAATGTAATCAAGGAGGATGTGAATTGGAGAGGAACAGGGATCAATTTGTCTCTGAGTGCACCAGATAGAGAATCATATCCATTGGTGGAGGTAGGTGGTGAACTGTGGAGGAGGACATCCTTCACTTGACTGGAACAAAGTGCCCCAGAATCCTAGAACCAGACAGGAGCCACACATTAAGGTTCAGGGATCAAGGTTGGGGATGTAAAGTTGTGCCTTGGTTCTAAAAGAGCAGTCGAGACAGTCCGGACAAGGGGAAAACACAGATTTTAGGGACATCTAGTGAAGGTATGGATACCAGGTTTGCCTGGACCAGGATCAGGCTATCGGGATGACTCGGGACCCATCTGAGTGGATCTTGTGCCGAACTCTTGGGATGAGGGTGAGTGGAGGAAACATATGATGGAGTGGTGTGTTCCAGGTTATGAAGAATGCATTGCCTAGGGGCTCAGACCCAACCCTGCTCAGCACTGAGACAACCCGACACCTACAGGGGAGCACACACATGGACATCACTCAAAAAAGAATTTGAACTTTTTTTTACGAACAAGTTCAGATTTTGGAGAACCATAATGGGCCTGAGCCCACTCCACTGGCCTTGGGGATAAGGAAATAGGAATAAAACCCCCTGTCCTTGTATTCCTGAGTAAAGTCCTCTATCACCCCTAACTCTAGGAAGGAGTGAACCTCCTGACTGAGTTGCTCATGACAAGAGTCCCTGAAGAGGGACATGAAAAGGGGGAGTGGAAGGACTGGGGAATAGGGAACTGGATGAAGTATCCCACTGCTGGCATGCTGAGGACCCAACGATACAAAACAATACTGGCCCAAGCACAGCAGAAGTGGGACAAATGGATTGTCAAATAGGAGGGAGAGATCCCAGAACTGGATTGATGCTCCATCCTTAGGCGCATTTTCAAAAGTTGGTCTTAGGGCTGGGAGATGGCAGAGTGACTCCGGTGCTGACCCAAAGAGGTATGGGAAGGTTGCCTATGACTATTATTTCTGCCCCACCTGCGGGTCCTGCCAAGGGGAACCCTGGGAAAAGCGCAAGGGTGGCAGAGGCCTAAATGGCTTGTGATGAGGTCCCTTGGTCACAAGGGACTTAAGAGTTGCCTGGGAGTCTTTAAGGCAGTGCAGCTTCTTATCTATCTTTTCAAAGAAAAGACATGCACAGCCCAAAGAGAGGGGGATCATGGTCTGGATCCTCACGGAGATGCATGTAACCAGGATTGTGCCGCATGGTGATTCCCATGGATATGGACCTAGTGGCTGAGTCAACCAAGTCCAGGGCCATCTGAAGGGAGGTGGGAGCCACAGACTTGCCTTTCTCCAGGACCACAATGGACTCTAAGTGCGAATTTGCAGGCAGTAGCTACTGAAACTTTGACAGCACAGGCCAAGAGTTATAGGAGTAGTGACTCAACAGCACCTGCTGATTAGCTATGTGAAACTGGAGCCCCCCAGTTGAGTAGACCTTATGAACCGAAGAGGTCCAGCATCTTAGCACCCTTGTTCTTACAGGTCAGCCCCTGATGCTCCTGCCTCTCCTTACAAACAACCACATTAACCGCCCTGGAGATAGGTGGGTGAAGAGATGTTTGTACCCCTGGTGGGGAACAGAGTAGCACCTCTCCACTTCTTTTGCTGTCAGAAAAAGGGAGGCTGGGGTCTGCCACAACACCCTGGTGGTACACTGATAGTTTTGACAAAGGGTAAAGCCACCCTGGACAGGCCCTCAGGGCTAAAATATCCACCATTGGGTCTGCATTCTTCACAATCTTTTCCGTGGATACATTGAGGCTGTGAAGCACCCACCGTAGAAGGTCCTGGTATGCCCTTACATCAGGGACAGGAAGGGAGGAAGATGAATCCCCAACCACCTAGTCCAGAGAAGAGGAGGAAGAGGAAGACCTTTGGGCTTCCTGGTGTACCTAGAGATACTGGAGGGCTAAGACATTGGTGGTTCAATGGGTGTCAACGGGTGCCAAGTTGGCGCTTCAACTCAAACGGGCTCAGGAGCTACTGCCATAGTTGAGGGTGCCTGGCAGGATGAGGACACTGAAGCTACCTGCGACACCGTGCTCTGTGCCTGATAGTAGGCCCAGGGCCGCCACAATGGCGACTACACAGGTGCCACTGCGGGGGGGAGCCAGCATGTCTGCGGTGCCACAGGAGCCTCCCAATGGTGGTGCCGGGAGCGGAGCCGCAAATGGCTGCTGCAAGATGCACAAGAGACCACTTCTCACGTATAGTCAGAGGCAAACAATAGAGGCACTGTGCCAGATAGTGGTGCTGAGGGGACGCTAAGTGCTATGGTAGCAAAATTGGCTTGCCCCAATGCCATATAGGAATGAGTGCCAGTTAGTGGCATTGGTACT